GATCCAAGGCGCTGAGGGAAGCGTCGGGCCAAGATCTCGGATTTTCGATCCGAGGATGCAGAATCGAGCCTCCATGGTGGCGGCGCGAGCGCCCGGGGGCGGCAATAGGGGCGATCGACTATCGCCGTGGCCCAATCCTCGAGCATCGGATGTCGAATCCGAGATCTTCGAGTCCAAGCTTGACGACCCTCGAGTCTAGGATCCGAGGTGCTCGCAGATGCTCAGGACAAAGATCTCGGACCCTCGATCCGAGGATGAAGGGTCGAGCCTGCTCGACGGCAGTCTGGGCCCGAAGACGGCGACGAGGGCGATCGACAATCGCCGAGGCTCGATCCTCGAGCCTCGGATATCGAACCCGAAATCTTCGAGCCCGAGCAATGCGGCCCTCGGTCTAGGGTCCAAGGCGCTCAGAGACGCCTGCAAACAAGATCTCGGGTCCTCGATCCGAGGATGGAGGATCGAGCCTCCTTGATGGCGGCATGGGCGCCCGAGGGCGGCGAGCGGGGCGATCTACTATCGCCGAGACTATTCTCGAGCCCCAGAAGTCGCACCCGAGATCTTCGAGCCCAAGCTTGGCGACTCCCGGATCTAGGATCCGAGGTGATCGCAGATGCTCAAGACCAAGATCTCGGACCCTCGATCCGAGGATGCAGAATCGAGCCTGCTCGATGGCAGTCTGGGCCCGAAGAAGGCGACGAGGGCGATCTACTATCGCCGAGGCGCGACGCTCGATCCTTGGATGTCGAACCCGAGATCTTCGAGTCCAAGCTTGGCGATCTTCGGCCCTAGGATCCAAGGCGCTCGAGTATGCTCGGAACCAAGATCTCGGATCCTCGATCCGAGGATCGAGCCTCGTTGATGGCGGCCTGGGCCTGGCGACGGCGATAGGGGCGATCGACGATCGCAGGGGCTCGATCCTCGATCCTCGGATCGCGAAGCCGAGATCTTCGAGTCCGAGCCTGGCGATCCTCGGATCTGGGATCCAAGGCGCTCGAAGATGCTCGGACACAAGATCTCGGGTCCTCGATCCGAGGATGGAGGATCGAGCCCCTTGATTGCTTGATGCTTGATCGAGGATCACTCGGCGAGAGGGGGGGAACAGCGCCCCGCAGCTTGGAACGCCACTCGCGCGCGCTCGAAGGCTCGCTTGGAGCTTGAACAACTCAGGGGCTTGAGCGCGTGCCTCGAAACGGCGCCCTCGCCGCGAAAAAGCAAAAGGCGCTTGGCTCGGGGCGCGCGCGCGCGCCGGGCTCTCAGGCGTCCGCGAGCATCAACTGGCCGGTGGCCTCTGGCTCGGCCTTCGCGTCGGCCTGGCTCCCTTGGGGCTCGCGCTGGTAGGTGATCTTGTCGTAGTCGGCGTGAGTATTGGCGAACTTGTCGAAATTCAGCTTGATGCGCTGGTCGAGAAGCGCTGTCTCGATGTCCTGCTGCTTGACGGTGCTCGAGTAGTCAAGCTTGGAGCGCTTGCCCTGGTAGGTCCGCTCCTGGAGCTCGTGCGCCATGTCGGCTGTCCTCTTCGCGCTCCAGCGCCACTTGACGACCGCTTGCGTGGTGGCCTTGGCGGCGTCGCGGCTCGACGCTTCGCCGTTCTCGCGGCGCCAAATGACGCGCTGCATGGCCTTGCTCGGGATCGACTCGAAGAACTGCTCGGCATTCGCGCTGCAGAGCTCCTCGCCCCACTTCTCGACGGACTCGAACTTCTTGTTGATCGGCAGCTCGAGGTCGCGGTGGTGGTGGAGTTCGGCGGGAATGTCGGGGGGGGGGGGGGGGGCTTGCTGACGCGCTCGGCGTGCGAGCCGTGGGCGAGGCGCGCGGCGATCTCGGCGCCGATTTCGATGTCCTTCTTCTTGGCAAGCTCGCGCATCTTGGCCTTGACGCTTGGCGTGAGCCAGGGGGGGTTCTCGGGCGGCTCTCCGCGGTTCGCGAAGATGTCGTGGACGTGCTCGTCATTCTCGCAGTGGGTCTTGTAGAACAACGCCACTGCCGGCCCGATGCGCCCGCGGTCCTTCTGGTTGAAGATGCGGCCGTTCTCGATGCTCTTGAGAGACCCACCGTTGCAGACCATCTCAAGGGCGGCTTACTGGGCGCTGCATGGCCACGAGGCGCTCTCGGACTTCATCCGCGCCTTGCGAGCTCGATTGGCACTGGCGCATCTCGGCGATCGCTATCTTGTCGGGTCGGCGCTGTCGAAGATTGCAGCGTTCTGCTCGGCCAAGCGCTCGAGGATCTCGTTTGAGTTCGGGCTCGCGCTCTGGGCCGCCACCTGTTTGAGGGCCTCTTCGGGGGGGGGGCTCGCCGCCGCGGCGCGCTCGGCGGCCCGGCGCATGGCCCTGGCTCGCGACGCGCTCAGGGGCGATGATGCGGGGGGGATAGGCATTGGGCGGGGGGGGCATCGACCTAGCATCGGCGATGCGTCGCCGATGCATCGGCGATGCGCGCCCAGTCGTGAATCCGCTCGTTCCCGAGCAGGTTCGGCACGCCTGCCCCCCCCTATCGCTGCCCCTGGGGCGAAGAGGCTCGGCGCCTCGAACAGGCTCGAAAGCCTGGAGTCTCGGAGACTCGGGGAAGCACGGGCCCGGGCAGCTGCGGGGGTAGAGTGGGAGGTGGTGGAGGAGGAGGAGGAAGATAATGAGGAGGAAAAGGAGGAGGACGAGGACGAGGACGAGGACGAGGAGGAGGAGGAGGAGGATGAGGAGGAGGGGGAAGGGGGGGCGGAAGGGCCGCGAACCGTGCGTGAGGGATGCGCTAAAACAGAATTAGCTCCAATGCTCTGCCTGCCCGTAAAAACGCATGTACAATCAAGGTCCAATCGGCCACTATGGCCCTGCCGCGCGTTCCTGACTCGGGAACGGCTGAGGACATGAAAATCCCATGGCCCTGCCGCGCGTTCGTCACTTGTGCAAACTGAGCTGGCGAGAACCCCACAGCCCCGTCACGCGCTCGCGATTGCGGAAGATGATGTGGTGAGACCACCATGGCCATGACCAGCGTTTATGATTCTGCTGCTGTTCATCATAAGATGATCGCAATTTCGATTCGCAACTTCCCCCGCGGATTAGAACGTTCGGCCTCCGCGCCCATCTCCACAGTGAACCCTGTTGGACGGGGATAATAGAAATGAAGGGGTTCAGGGAGCGCGATTCATTATCGCCCGCGCTCGGTTAGATTCCGCCTGCTTCCGCCAACTTTCCGCCAACTTCGACCGTCGCTTCCGCCTCTTCCGCTAGCTCCCGCTTGCTTCCGCCGCCTCAGTCGGAAAGGGGGCGGAAGCTAACGAGTGCCTGTGAGCCTCCGAGCCTCGCTGCTCTCGATCTGGAAGACCGCCGCGGTCTCCACCTCGAGGGCGCG